TATTTTTGATAGGAAAAGCACAAAACTTATTTGCTTAAAAATAGGATGATGTGGCCTTACGTAAACAAAAAATAATCGAAACAAAAACGACCGTAAAAGTTTAATGAAACAGGTAAGTAAAATGAAAGGGATCAAACCAAGACTTGAACTCTGCACCACTCTAAACACGATTTATTAACACTCTAGCCAACTAAGCTACCTGGCCCAGTCATACTAGGACTACAGTGGGATTATTGAGTGTTATATTAACTACATTCAACCCTAATCTACATAGTCATTATGTACATATGTCGCAGTAGGTTTTATCTTGGTTTCCTCCTTTGTAAACTATCTTCTATTGTAATATGCTACATAAACATGATTTAATATTCATTCGTACTTTTATGGTTTTAGAAATCAATATGTTTTACATATTTGTATAAGCCTTTCAATTGCTGTAGCTTGAAAAAAACCTATATTACCTTAGTAACACTTCACAAAATGCTTTTATTACCGGTTGTATTCCCACACTACAGCATTGGTGTTTCTTGAACTACATCATGTCTTTTTATTTTGTTCAATGTTTGTTATTAACTAACTCGCCAAAGGTGTTTTTTGGTGTGATTTATGTATTATGCACAACAAACGAAGGTAGAGAACAATGATAATTTCTAAGCTTATATAATAAGCCATTTACTCTGCTACCAATTCTGGGAATTAAATCTGACATTTTATGTGTATATGATTGATGATTTCCATAACTTAACAAATTATTTTACTAGCTCTGTCTATATAATGGACACTTGTTCTTATAAAAGAAATCACATTTGAAAAAATCCCAAAAGACCATCCCTTGTTAGGTCAGTATCGGGTAATAAAGATGAATCAGGTGGTGTCACCCTCGTCTCTGTTCATGTTTTGAGGTTTCCTGATTTTGACTGTTTTTTATATTTGTCTCGTTTTGTATGTTGTTCCCTTTCAACTATTTTGGCATTGTCCCAATCGACGATGTGAGTTTGGGTGTTAGCGTGATCTGTTAATTCCGAACTATAGTTGGGAACTATATCATTTGTTCCATTTGTTGAAAAGCAAACGTTGATTTTAATGTTTTCAGCAAAACGGAGTTATCTACTTTGATTTGCTATTGTGACGTCATGTTATTGCATTATAGACGTGACGTCATACAATTGTTATGACAGGGCAACTCCTTTGTTTTTTCCCTAGGGTAAGAGAGAAATACAAATATCTTTCTCTAACCGGAAGTATGGATAAATATATTTTGTGGGGATGAAGGGGGGAGGGGAGGGGGGCGAGATCGCCTTTCCTTGTGAACATCACTTGCCCACCCACCTAGGTTTCCTCCGGGTACTCCCATTTTAAGAGCCCCTTATATATCATATAGACCGTGATCTAAAGTCTGGTACACTACCAGTACATTGTGGTCGTGCATGACTAAATGTATTGTGGACATATCGTAGTGCTTTAATAGAGGTATACGTTTGGCATAATGTTATCCAATACTACCGTTTATGACTTTTGGAAGGTATTTTAATGCATATTGGATTCGAATAGAATGTTCGAATCCCTTTGATTGATATAAACACGCAAACTGTGACCAGTAATTAAATCCTGGATATCAGTTACATAAAAAATACAACGGGAAACGCATAAGTTTTAAACAAGTTGTTAAAATGCTACAAAGTGGGCGATCTATCTACAACATCTTGTGCTTTTATACATGGAACTAACAATAAACAAATGTTAAAAAAGTTGAGTGCTAAACACATATACAATAAATACACTTCACCATTGTTTCAGCAAAGTACCTTGGAGAACAGTCATGGACTGCTTCTGGAGGCGTGTAGACAAGGTTTTATATAATGGTTCGGAGAAACAAAAGCTATTGGATGGGACTCAAGTGTAATGTATAATTTTCTCTTAAAACACGAAATATTTACAAAACGTATGTTTCAACTTTATTCAAATATGATTTTATTACAATGTTATTGTAAGGCACAAATAATGCTATTGGTAAAATGAGATATAGCATGTTAGAAGTGCAAATACCAGTCGGATTTAAACTAAGGATCCTTGTTGAGGGGAAGCGTTGGTTGGTTAAAGTTAGGTTAGACAAGTTAAATAACTTAATTTACTATCAGTTACCTACATTTACAAGGACATATCGATATCAACGATCACATATTGTTATGTAAAGAAAGACTGAAAAGATATACATTGTAATTCGTTTTCTTTTGGTTTCCCCCTTTTTATTTGTTAGTAGTAATAATTTCAATTTAATAACTGGTGTAGCTATCTTATTTGACACTATATTTCAGCAATGGACCGATTCCTGTTAATGACGTTGGGTTTTTATCCTATATAACATTCGGATGGGTCACTCCCCTAGTTTTGAGGCTTTTCAAAAACAGAGAAGAGGAAATCAGAGAAGACGATGTGTGGACATGTTCGAAATTGGAATCATGTGCCATCAACACGGAACGGTACTAAAACAGGCCTTTGTTGATATATCTTTTGTAAGATAAGCATGCCTATTTCCTTTACAGATTACTTAGGAGCAATACGTGTTATGTTTGTAGAATGCTTTAATTTTATGTTCAGTGTATAAGGGGTGGAGGTCGGAGAGAGATAACATGTAGATTTTTTGTATGTAGGGGTGTGGATGGTGGTGGTAGTTAACTAAGATCATATGGACAAACTTTAATTTACCCTTTTTCTTAACATTGACTAGACTAATTAAAAGAATTGAGTATCACTCAGTAATAAGAACCTTTCCTATCACTCTGATCCTACAGTATAGATGAGCGGGTTGGTAGAGTAGTTAACACTCTGGCCTTCAACGCAGGCGGCCGGAGTTCGATCCCCCAAGTCGTCGTATGCATGAATATTCAGAGAAAGTCTTTTCTCCTGCCAAGGAGGAGCATACATTGGTCTGGGGTGGATGTTGCGGTATCTGTCCTGTAGCATTCAAGTGAGGTGGCACTATTAATGATGCCGTTGGAAGCACGGTCCCACTACAAACAGAACAAATTACATTTTCAGCACACACGCAGGCATACACACATATGTATATACCAGCCAGGTGTTATAGGACTAATAGTTAACTCCTGATAAGGCAGCTCTTGCGAATTCTTAATTTATTGTATTAATTGTATATCTGTAATGTAAAGCCCTTTAGAGTGGCTTATGTTAACTAGATAAGGCGCTATATCAAATGTTGTATATTATTATTATTATTATTATTATTATTATCATTGATCCAAATGTACAGATATTCTTACAGAATGATAACAAGTACATATTCAAGTTGAAAATGTAATTTACAACTATTTGACGTCACCTGTCTTATTTTGTTACTATTCCTTTGGGTCCGATAAATATTATTTTGCTATAAATATTCAGTAAAATTATCAAATTGTAAATATACACCAAACTCTTTATTCGGTAACCATCTTTCGAACAAATTGTGCTCATATGAGTATGAAAAAAATCAGTTAGCGAAAACATCTGTTAAAGCGGGGTCACCAAAAGCATTTGTGTATTACTTTTTTTGTAAAATATTTTTAACCAGTCTAGACAATAAAAACATCTCAATTGAAAATTGAATCAAGCTCTTTCAATGTTTTCTCGTTTCGGAAAAGTGAAATCCTAAAACATTAGTTTAAGTGGGAATTTAACGCAGTAAACAGACATAACTTAGCAATTATATTCTCAATTTTTAATTCTTAAAAATTTCCTTTAGAAGTTTTAACTTTCTTGTTAGTCCTAAATCTGCCTCGATTCTTGTTTGATTGTTAACAATCAACGTGTTTCTTTGTCGGTTTATATTTATCCTTAATATTAGTATCAGAGATGAACTGATACATTTGAGTATGTTTATAAAAAAAAATCTGAAATTTTGAAATTAGAAAAAAAGAAATGAGATATCTTATCTAGGAAATCCGGTGAGACACAATTTTTACCAGATTACATTTTTCTCTCGTCAGATTAGAACCTATGTGGATGGAAGAACTACAGACCTACGGACGACAAAAATGCTCAATCCTCAGACTGTGGCTGAAATTCATATGGGTTCGACTACTGATTGTGTTTATAGCCCTCTGTTTTAACGCCATTATTACATTTCTCTGTACGGTTAGTACCACATTTAGTTCTTTTGTAGTTTTATTTATCTCTTAAATCTAACTTTCTCATTAGGACCGTATGGTTAAACGTTTACTCCAGCTCGAAAATGTTTTGACGAACATCTGAAACTAAGGAGTTCATGACTTTTGCCGGCACATTAATAACAACTTCATTTCGCGCATAGCTCTGTCTTTAACCATTCTTAAATTGTGTTTTTGTTACTGAGCCCGGGTACTTATCTGTGTTATGTTTGATGACATTACAGGGTTACATCACCGTTGTCATAACCCGATATTTAGAGGGACCAGAAACATCTGTGACTTACGCCATTGGATTAGTAATATTCACTGTTGTGGGACAACTTTTAAGGTGCTGTTCACAAACATTTATCCTCTTTTACGGAACACAAACAGGTAAGTCATTAACTGTAACATTTCTCTCAATGATATCTTATTGTCTTGGAACCATGAACTAGAACAGATTTCTTACTGTGGTAAATGTGATATAAACGTGCAAGGAACCCATATGCAGGCGGACATCATGCATTTGCCACTTAAAATCTCCATCTAATGTAAACACCTTAGTATGTGACCAACAAAACTTACTAAGTGAACCATTTCCAAAATTAAGTTCTATTTGTGATTATAACTACACAATAATGATAATAATAAAATATATGGGTTTTGGAAGTTATTTCAGTTAATGAAATTTCTAATAATTACACTCAACAAATATAGCCATTTAAATATATAAGGCATTGTTTAGAAATGCAATAACACCATGTTCATGTTTGATGCTTGAATACACGTTTCGCATTGTTGAAAAACACCTCAGTTCTTGACTTTTATTTGAGATAATTGCCCTCCAGTGTTAATGTTATGGCATATGTGTTTGTTTTACTTCCGTCACATACAGGAATAAGATTTCGATCTGCAATACTGGGAATGACATACAAAAAACTCCTGAAGTTGAAGAGTATGAATGGGAGGATTGCGTCTGAAGTAAGTTTGTACTTTTCATTCAACGATTAATGTTGCACGAATCCACAAACTGAGTAAGGTATGCTACAAAACAAAGATTTAACAATAAACAAAAAAGTACAGAGGTAAAAACGTAATTCGAACCCTTTCGGAAGATATATGAAGACCCTTCGTACAGTGACAAAAACTTCACACGGTGTTCCGGAATGACTAACAGAGTCTTTCAAATGTAGACATTTAGGAAATGGATATTTTACACGAGGGTGTAAAATTGGGGACAACATCGTTTAAAGCCTCGGTTCTGACCCGAATTATGCACTCGAGGGTAGACTACCCATATCCAACATACCTTCATAATGATAGCTACGGTAGACCAGAACAAAGAGATTGTAGACATGCAACACTAAATGAAGTGCAATTTCTAAATAACGTACAAACGACAATGCCTATGTCCTGGAAGTGGTTTACAGTGTTGAGAAAGGATTGGTACATGTAGTATAGAAAATTGTTCTTATTCGTTTTGGGGCTACAAAATGTACCATGCAACTTTCTGATAAACTTGGGATCTAATTATTTTGTATTTATCGCGCTCATATGACCCCTTTCCATTCCCTACCATTTTTATACATTTACGTTAAATGTTTTTCCTACCAAATAAGTTGTGTTCATAGTAAAATAAAAAGGCAAGACAGTAGAAAGCGCTTATGATCGAGAATTTCGGAAACTCTGGAATTATGTATTACATGTAACAACACATCTTACAATTTGTAAAGAATCAATACAACATCCCAATTTTGTAACTATTTTCAGTACATCAGTCACTTTGGAAGTATTTACCAATATTTTGAAGTCTTCATCTTTGGAAAGTAAATGGCAGGACTGCCTAATGGGATATAGATGTATTTATTATTATAATTAATCAAATTAACGTTTATTGTTGAATTAAATAACCTATAGAAATGATTGTTTCAGATAATAACAATATTTGGATCGGATGCCTTGAGAGTGTTTATGAACACTCTGCTGTTCGTGTATCTTCTTGCAATGCCTATCTACCTGATAATAGGGACCGTGTACATCTACTACCTCATAGGACTGTGGTGCTTCGTGACTTTTGCAACATTCATTGTCCTCTTCGCAATACAGGTAAGGAAACCGATTGTTTTCTTAATGCACATGTATATTTTAGGTGTTTTAAGCTCACCCGAGACGAATAAAAGATGGAGTCATTCTTCCGCCAATCCAGTATCAGTTTTAGCTTAAAAGACTGCTTCTTAAGAACAAGACCTTAATGACAGTTCGACTAAATTGATACTCGGGTAGAATCCCTTTGCAATTGAACGTGTATCTTATCAATGAAAACGTTTGGGTTGGGCTCCTGATGTGGGGGAGGGGGAGGGGGAGGGAATGTCCGATAGAGGCATCAAAAATAAAAGATTCAAATGACAATCGCCGTTCACCATAATGGAAATGAAAGGCAACTAAGGCATTTTTTTTCAGTTCGGTTAGAGGTATGGTTTTGTAACGAACGAGCAAGACATAAGTTTAAATAGAAAGTTTTGGGAAATGGGATGCTCAAAATTAATTAAAATATTTATTTTCTTTTTAATAATTTAAAGTCCACATTTCAGAAATTCAATTTCTGCAGGAAGCAGTTCAACAATATGACTGTAGTCCTGATTCAACAGAACTGAGAACAGGGTTCTATCTAAACACCAGTGACAAAGGAAGGCACGTCCGTTTCCTAACTTGAATATATATTTTGGAAGGAATGTACAGAGGCGTGATCGTTTTGTTTTTCTCCTTTCGAATTTTAATTCTATAAGTAGAATCTCCATGGTTATCAAACTATTTATTTTAGATGCAAACAGGAAAATTGATATTATTTACCGACATGACCTATTACATGTAGATGTTTTGTCTGCAGGATCCCACTCAGCATGCTGTCGTTTCACTCATTGTCAAGCGTAGTCTTCTACAGAATCCATCAGTGTCTTGAAAATCACATTACGTTGAATAATAGGTGTATCTTATGACTTGAAAATCTCCCGTAGCTTTGCATTACTGATACTATTTATATCACAAGCCACTACTCGTCCCACTGCACCCTATCGGATTGGGATGTATGACAAGAACATACTGATTGAGGAATTGTTCTAGGATTATCTAAATACATCTGTGGAAGCGTAAGGCCACAGTTGATATCCTATCAAGCAATGGGATTAGAATAACCATCTCATAATAGTGTATATGTTGCATGAAGAATTTGTAACGTAACCTTAACTTTACATACATTTTTATTCGCATATCATATAATAAAGAAACAAAGCTCCATTCCAATTATGGAAATATCCTATTTTAAATCCTTTATTAAAAATAGTTTTTACATTTTTCTATCCACAATGCAAAAGCTTCAACAATAGTATATAAGTATGAAATATTATGCTGCAATGATTAAACAATACTTACAACACAGACGTGGCAGATATTAATGGCGTTAAGAATCGTTTATTCTCAATGTAATGACCACCAATAATGATTGATTATCACCATCAATTGAACAGTATTATCAATGATTCAATATCTATGAAGCTCTGCCATTCCTTTATATTTTTTCTTCAGGCTTTTCTTATTGAAATAATCTCATACCTCAGACGAAAGACGTTAGAATGGACAGATATAAGGGTAGGTACTGCCACAAGACTATTTAACGTAATACACCAGAAAAAGTGCAGATGAGCGTTAGAAACTTTTAAGTTTAATGATCTATACAATAATAAGTAAACAAAGCGTAGCTGGATTACGTCATTTCAGTACAAATATAACAACTAATTGTACATATGCTTACAACGAAGCCGAATCGACATCGATTTGTGGACAACTCGTACACATTTTCACTGGTCATTTGCCTGATGAAGGTGACAGGGTAGTCAAATCAGCAATGGAGTAATAGATTAAATAAGAATTGTCGTTTCTAATGTCCACCTTGTCTCAGGTCAGGTACCAAAAAATATCGACTTTATATAACTCTTCCTGTGGGAAACGTCTGTCTATCAAGACAACTATACAATGTATGTCTTGTATTCCCCCTGGACAGATAAGAAAGATGAACGAAGTTCTCGCTAGCATGAAGTTGATTAAAATGTATGCGTGGGAAGACTCTTTTAAAAATTCTATTATGGGTAAGTTGGTCATTTACAATTTATTGTTAGTAAAACGGAATACCAGGAAAGACATTTCTTTTTCCCCATCTCTTTGTATATAAAATACACACGTCCAATATGGAACATTTATTATGGACCCCATATGGATGTATTCAATGACCTTCACTATTATGACGACACATTCGGACGACGATTACATAATGACGTCATAATCAAAGCCCCCTCAAAACGTTGTTTAAGTGTCTATAACGATGTTGTCGTCCGCAGGCGAGACTGCTTGATGAACTTTTGCACGCGCTTGCCATGCAGTTAGGCATGGCTATTTAAATTTGAATTATACCTATGATACACCGTACACTCCAAATATTGTCGTATTTTGTGTATACATTATCTTAAAATTATGCAATATTTGATTTACCTATGTCGTGTTGTACCACATTTTGGACAAGAGATGGGGGAAAAAGAATAAATCATTGTCACAACAAATACTAGAATATTAATCACGCGGGTGTAGAATACCAATATGCCAAATTACTATTTATAATAGACTCCATTAAACAATATATGTATTACACCCTCGGTGTAAAATATTCCTTCTACCAACATCATTAGATTTATTGATATTCCACCTTTTAAAAACATGTTGCTTAAATTAAAGAAACGCTTCAAAAGGACCATGCTTTTTAGTATCATAACTATGAAATATATGATATTTAAGATGAATTGCTATCTAACGAATTTCATAATGTTCTACAGATATAAGGGAAACTGAAACTAAACCACTGTTGCAATCGACGATATTAAATGCGATTTCCAATGCCATCATCCCGATTACCCCGTCACTAGCTACGGTAGCCACCATAGCCACGTACGTCAATGCGGGAAACGAACTGACAGCGTCGACGGTAAGTCAGTTATTGTTACACTAAGCTCAATATCTTGAGTCGTATATGACGTAATATTATTTCAATCCCTATATGTTCATATTTTCTTTGAAAAGGAAATGCACCGAGAGGGGAATCTACCAATAGCCTAAATACTGCTTGCCAGTGGCATACCAGCTTGATTAAATCAACCAAATTGCACAAATGATAACATAAGAATACATGTCATATTAATTTCATTATTATTTATGAAAAAAAATGTATGTCTTATTATTATAAAAGCAATAGAAAAGTAATGTACTTTGCAATAATAAATAAACAATTTATATCAACCATAATTATATTGAATAACTTTTATGAAAATGTCAATCCAGAAAAACAATGTACATTGTAGTAGCGATATAGCAGTAAGCTATATCATCGTTTGTATTTGATAATGATATCGTAGTTATATTGCAGGGTTTTTCTATTGTTGCAACCCTCACCTTCATGCGGATCGTAGTGTCGTTCGTTCCTTATTCCGCTCGGATGTTTGGAGAAACCTTGATAAGTTTCGAGAGAATAAAGGTATACAGCGAAACGTAGGGCATCCCAGATAAATCCCTTCCCATAATCCTATATACCGGAAGTGTTTTTATTTTTTAACGACATTTTTACTGTCAACTCACACAAAAGTAATAGTAACAGCCATATTTCATTAAACCGGACACCAGGTACATTATGTAATAAGAGTAAATATCACCGGTCCTGATTCTATATAGTTAAATCCAATATAAACAAATATTTAAGATCCAACTAACAAAAACTTTAACTGCGCATTGAAACGTTTTTCCGGCATGAGTATAGTTTATAAGTAACATTTCTAAAAGAAAAGTGTACCTGCTGGACATTTATGAAACATGTTCAACAACAATTTTCTAAGTATAGAAAATCATTGCGGCTAGACCAGGATTCGAACCCACGACTTCAGATTATTATACCATAGCTGTAACCGACAAGTCTACCTGATCAATAGAGGAGTGCTTGACCAACTATGCTACTGTGATATCTAAAAACAAATGCAGGGGAGCTTACTCCATGTACGAAAAAACAAACAGAGGGCAGTGGGTCAGGGATCAATAATCTAATAAGTATGTAATAACAAAACATACCAATTAGAACTTGATAGTGTGAGAGTAGGATGCTGAAAACGACTGATTGCAGTACCATATTGTGTAATTATCGCCCTTTGCCCACACATTATATTGACGGAGTGCGTGTCGATATGCATTGCCTATGATTACAGTATGATACAAGAACCCTGTAAACATTCAATGATAGGCATAAGGTTTTCAATGTTATATGTGTTGTATTTGTTTGTTTATGTGGTGAAACATTTGCTATTGTACATTAGAGGGTTCCTTTAATACTCATATTATTAAGAAACTGGTTCAAGGTATAAATAAGTCTTGAAAAATAAGGGAAACATAAGATAAAACTAACAAGATTGTTTTGTTTTTCAAACTGACGAAATATGAAAAGAAAATATCCTAAAAAAAAATTATTTATTGCAGAATAAGTGTATGCTGTTTCCCCAACAACGTAAACGTTTAGTCAAATGATTATAAATAATGGGTAGGGATAGTTTTTGATCAGTTTAAAGTTGGGTTTTGTATATTAGCAAAGTACATATGCCCTTGATATATGTACAATATTTTTTTTTCTTCATCTCAGCGATTCATGTTGGAAGAAGAATTCAAGCCACCAGGACGAGATGTCGTCAATTCTGATAATGCTATTGAGCTCCATGATACGGTGTTTAAGTGGGGTGGCGATAACAACAACAATCCAGACGACAATCTTACGTCTGAGGAATCCGAAGGTATGAGAATATATGCTGATACAAACTTATCCCAGTAAACGATTTTCATAAATGACTAATATTAAAAAGCAAAATTGAAAATGAAAATAGATCTTAGTCATCCAGCAGTGGCAATATGAACTAAAAGCTGATACGGTAGTAAAACTAGAAATAAAAGAATCAGGAACCCCGACAAAAAAACAACAATGAAAAACGGACACAAAAACAGGAGCTCAGTAACGGTAATCGTCTCCTGTACCATTTGTGGCTACCATGTTGACGCTTCCGGTTATATCAACAATGGCATGTCGGTAACAATCAACATATCACTAGGGAAGTCGCTCGTATTTCTAGACTACATTATTAAATCATGGAGTCTACGTATTCAAAATTTCAAAAGCTATCAAGAGATCTGAACGAATACAAAACAAAAAGAAATATTGGAAAACGTGATATATCAAGAATATGCTCTTATGTTTTTTCCTGTTTTTCTATGAATTTTTGAAAAAAAAAAATAAACCATGATTTACAAAGCAAATATTCAACTACGTTTTATGTTTTGGAACATTTCAGACATGGTTTTTCATTCTCTGTGTAAATTGGAGAAATGGAAATATGTCGAAGTAAAGTGTTTACTTTGTATGTCTTTCTATATCAACAAACTAAGTCTTTAATGGGTGCTTCCTTACCTCGTGTTTTGTTGTTTTTACTGTTTTTTAGTGACTTTTAAGTTCAGTCGCTTTTTTTTTGCTCCTTCTTCTTAGACACTTTCCTTGTCATACTTATTTAAAATGTTTTAATTGAGGACGATTGTGCGCAATAACATATGTTTGGTGATTCAATGTCTGATAATTCTTTTTATATTATTTTTTAGAATCAAACTGCGAGTCATCATCGCTAGTACTGCGGAACATCAATCTTACAGTCACAAGGGTAAGTAGCGTAAGATATGGGAAAATAATGTCTTAAAATCTTAAACTTTCATAGTTTTATTCAACCCTTCAACAGCACTAGTTAATGTCATTTTTATGCTAAATATAAAGCAGTTACGAAGTATACAAAAAATGATGTAACCCCTCTTAACTTTATTTAAAACAAAGCCATTTTAATCACACTATTTCGTAGCAAACTCTATATTTTTTGTCATGATAAGACATTCTTTAGATATAGTATTATATGGAAAAACTCAGCAAAAACAGTGGCGCAGTTCCGTGAAGACATGGCAATAGTATGCGGAAAATTATTACAAACACACCACAACGAAGATTTTGTCATTAAGTAATTTAATTATCCTTTCAATTTCAACCATAGACTACTTCATTGTTTATTGTATATGTATATCGTCTACAAGGGGCATGATGCACTTCACTTAAGCATTGAACTGCTTTCAGTTGGCATTGATAAGCAATATATATGCCAACTGGACACAGGCAAATTCAACGAAGCGCTACAATGGTAAATATAATGATAGCACATCTACAATAATTTATACCTCATACAATACATCGTGACACTTAGGTCATTTCTGAGTTATAAACAACACTCTGTACGTTGAAAAAGAGAAATAACCCTTAAATATATCACAGATGTAATGTACAAAGCAACTACCGTTTAGTTTCACTGTTCTGTGTATAGGGGAAGCATATTGGAATATGTGGAGCTGTCGGCTGTGGCAAATCGTCCTTGGTACAAGCACTGATCGGAAGGGTAGGTCATTATAGTGTTATTAGTTCGGTGGATAAGAATGTAATTATTGCATTGCTACGTATCTAGAAAATCATCAAAATCGATGTAACATGTTATCAGAACAATTTTACATTTATATTTAAGTCCAAGTCGAATAAATATTAGAATTTTGATTTGATTTTTTTAAAGCAGTACATCCTTTATCTTAAGAACTGCATGAACAAAATAAAATGGACAATGTATCGTGGTTGAAACTTAGTTTATCAGAAATATAATATTACATCACGATTTCAACAGGCATGTTCATGAGTCTTTTTAATTCGATATTTCAGCAGTTCTTAATATGAATTAGACTCTTTACAATACCTCTTGTTTTACGTCAGATGCCACTGCTAACTGGACGTCTGGCTGTTGACGGTTCCGTAGCCTACGCAGCACAACAGGCCTGGGTATTTAACGGGACGTTGAGGGAAAATGTCCTTTTTGGAAATCCCTATAATCCAGATTGGTAAATAAATCCGTGTTGGGGGACCCAATCCTATCTTATTGGAACAAATGAAACTCTGTTCATCTGCATCTCTGACATTTAATTAATTAATTTGGCTTTTTACATGAACAAAGCGATTATTCAACGATATCACCAATACTACATTTCGTTTCCTGGATTTAACACACATGTGATCCATAACAAATACATACCAATTTGTTTTTAAAGATATACATTTTCAGTGGGTTATTTTGTTTTTGCTAAATCGTTCACGTTTCGGCATGAAGTATATTTAAAAGCATCAGTCTGTCTGCACGTAACAATAAAACCCTGGTTAACTACAATAAAATATAAAAGATCGTTATTGTTTTAATCTTAAGGTAATTGATTAGTTAATTAATATCCACACAGGTACACAAAGGTTTTAACCGCATGTAGCTTGGATCCAGATCTCCGCATATTGGCCAATGGCGACATGACTGAGGTAACACTTTCTTATTAATGTTTCTTTCTTATTACATCCATGCAACATAAATAAAGACGCCGGTTTTGCCCAGAGGTAAACAATATCTATATAAAACAAAACCATTAAAAGCCCTTCGCAAGTAGCATCACAGCAGAGTAAGAACTTGCCAAACTATCCAGCCCCACCGGGCTGGTTGTTGCAAAACAAGTAAAGCTTTTGAAAGAAATCCAAGAAACTTTCAAACAATAAGCCATTTGACGGCTATTGAAGCCAAGAATATGAAAGAAAAAGACGTGAAATAAATTTCAAGAAAAGAGTTTTAAGGGTTGTGTTAGTTTCCTGGAATCTGAAGGACCCTGAACACTTTATATAGCGTTTTCTTTCAGCTTTTAACTATACTGATCAATAATAATAATTTCTTACTACTTGCTTTTGCACCTATAGTAACAGTTTAGTTTAAAAAAATGTAAATCAAATCTTAACTCAACAAACCAGCATAAGGAGATGGCAAAAGCAAAAAATGTATACCTTCCAACGGGAGCAACACACAAGCGATTATCAGAACTAGAACTGGATACAAAAAAAACGACAGAAATAGGGGAGACAACAAACCAAGGAGGACATCATACATCTGTAACATATGTTATATACGTCCTGATGTCTTATATCTAATGATCTAAGTGATGTCTTCTTTAATTTAATCACGGTATCATGACAAACACTGAAAACATCAATATTCCTAGAAAACTCTCATTTCAGATTGGTGATAAAGGCACTAATCTTAGTGGTGGTCAGAAACAGCGCGTGAGCCTGGCACGTGCCGTCTACAGTAAACGCGACATATATCTCCTTGACGACCCGCTGTCTGCTGTTGATGTCCATGTTGGGCAGCACCTGTTCCACAAATGCATTGATAACGTTTTAAGGGATAAAACTGTTGTTTTAGTAACTCACCAATTGCAGGTAAAAATGATGGTCAAATAGGATGATGCAAAACATCAGACTTTTTTTTTAATATCGGACAAATGACAAAATCACAATGTATAGTAAATACTGTCTATACTGTCTATAATAATGAACACTTTGCTTTTAGTTCATGTCACTTTTCCCACGAAACATTTTTTGGCTGAATGTTAAACAAGACAAACTAGTTTTCCCAGTTTTCCTTCAATTCCCGCATTCTAAGGAAAATATAAATAAATGTTGTTTTTTTTCTCAAATCGCAATAAAAATGACCTGCAAAATGTATTTCGCAGGACTTATTTACAAAACAAAAATGTGATGAACAAATATAACGACGTTTGGACACGCAGCTCTTCAAAAATATTACCAGGATATTTGTTTGGCTAACGTAGCACAATGGGACACGACAAATTCAAACGTTAGTAATCAACAAAATACTGTTACAAAATATATTGTTAAAAGAGTAGATTATGGTAATATTTCAAAAGTATAATAGCGTTATTTACATATTTACCGCAACTTAGAGTTGTTTAAATCTTACATAGACGATTGGCTGGTTAAAATTATTCATAATTATATTGTTCAGTATTTAAAACATTGTGACGAAATTTACGTAATGGATGATGGTGAAATAACCGAACATGGATCACACGAATGGTTGTTGGCCAAGGAGGGACATTACAAAAAGCTGATGGAACAATTCAACTACAACCTAGACGAGACACATGCTGAAGGTAATGTTTTCTTGTTTAAAATCGTTTACGTGAATTCCTCAGTGAAAGCCAAACAGCCTCTTGCTTCTAGGGTGTATAATGTGTAACTGATTCTCTGCAATAGTGTCTTTCTCTTAATGTCATAACTTTCTCTATAGATGCGCCCTCTTACAGTGGCTATGATGACTCAAAGTTAAGTTAGGTGGCCTCGAGTGAGTGCAAAATACAGTTCGTCACTTATATCTTAAATATCTTTTGCTGGAGTTTGTTACAATAAAAACATTCATGCTGTGGCTTTGTTAACAGCTTCAACAAAAGTTACCGTTGCTTACTGAAATCATTGTTTTGGCCAATTAGCCTTGAACATCTCTCTGAACATGTGAATATAGAGATGCTTCGATATAAACAAGATACTCCCAAACTGAAGATAGTTTATAAAGTAATGTTTTTCTATGTATTTTGTTAAATATGTGATATCATACATATATTTAAGAAATTTAGTTTAAAAAGGGGGGCTTTAGATATCTCGTCTATGAATTGATAGAGCGCTTTACGAATTCTGTAAATCACATCTTTGTTATACAAACTTCAAGTTTTAAGAATATATGACAATCGTATACTATAAACTAGCTGTTATGTAAACGGCGCTGCCTGTATAGATATAGATGAAGTAATATATGATATGTAGAATATTGATACTAAGATCCTTATATTACAGAAGGTAAAATTTTCGCCGACAATAATATAGACCAGGAGGAATCTATTGATATATCCAAAATACAACAGCAGAATGATTCTTCAGGAACGGTTGACTATGACCACAACTATGAAAAAGGTTTTTTGAATTGTGTACTGTCTTATCATTCCTTCTTTCCTCCCTTTCTTCCTTCCTACAGTTTGATATCCAATATTACCTTATGAATAACTATCAATGTTTTCCGTTCTCCTTTTGCCTTGTTTAATCGATGCACTGCCGTATCCAACAATGATCCAAGATCGACAGGCTTTATAATAGAAAAAAGCTTATCGTACACCTTTACAATTCAATATTTCATTCGGGTATTTGTAATCAGTGTTATGTTAAATGGGGTTGATAACACGATATATAAATTACACTATGTACCTATTGGTCCTGAACAGTAACGAAATTCAATGTCATTTTAAAGGCTTCATTATGTTGCTGCCATGATAAAAATAGTTGTATATATACCTTGATTTCCATCATGGGTGACAAAGCACTTGTCTATCAATTGACAAACAATCCTATGATATATATGGTGCGGTTCGTAATATCTTTCCATTAGTTTTACAATCTTACTGTATCTCAGTCTCATGGTTCCTCAGTATTATGGGATGGTTGGTATCGAGGTCAAGTTAACAATTTACACTGTGATGTTATGGTATTATGTTATGAAGTGTGTAAGTCTTAAGTCTCAATAACCATAACTAGGACATTTACAAATAGTATACTTCAGACTAATTATGTTCTTCAGGTATGTATTGTAAGTTATTTAAGATATGAACCACAAAGATGGCCTACCAGCAAGCTGTAGGCTAAGTATGCGGGACGATTTTGATTTTCCAATCGTGAACTTTCCCTTCTTTGATAGTGATATCACTGCTTCCCCTACCTATAGTGTTAACATGTCGCAGTTGATTTGGTACTGAAGAGCTTGGTCCGAAAATCATTACTTTCTTGATAGATGTCGACTGCTGACAGACACACGTATAACACAGTATTTGCAAAGATGCAGTTTGATCAAGACTTTGAACACGTAATATGGTCGGCATCAGGATGTCACAGGGAAATGCTATATCTTTGTAAGATGTAAGAGTCGATGTGCTTTTATTGTGCTCATGAGAATGCCTTGTGATTTTGTTGTCACGACCTGAGTTCTAGATGCGAGGACCTGACGTTACTTGGATTCTATTTAGATTTACATGGCGGGTGTCATCGATGAAGCAGAAGACATTTACCCAACTTGAACTCCTAGTCTTCTTCTCATTGTACTCCTCAAAGGTCTACATGTCAATCTTTTCTTTGCTAAAGTTTTGCCATAGTTTTTTCGATTTGGAGTTTAAACGACTGTTTTTTTCTGGCCACCTTTCCCACAAAGCCATCGATCTAAGCAATACTTATTTTATAATAAATATGGTAATATCTTTAAGCATCAGTTTTTGAATGGTACGGCCTTTCCAGGTATTCTGACCGACAGAGAGACATCACAATCTGGCAGCTTAAGTGTAGGTGCATACAGAAGCTATGTTCGAGCAGCCGGAGGCAAGGTAGTGGTAGCTATTGTGGTCCTGCTGTATGTGTGTGCCATTTCTTCGGTTTCATTCAGTGAATGGTGGCTTGGACTTTGGATTCAGCAGAGGGTAGGCTAAAATATTGAATCTGATAAATAGATGAAAACATAGAAGCTACATTTAATCGATCAATATGGTTATTATATCAATATCCATGTCCGGTCTTTTCGATTCCTCGCTTTCAATGGTTGAATATATTCTACTGTAGAACTGTCTTCTACATTTATACTACAACGACATGCATTACTATACTACTGCTGCAGCCTCAACAATCGTTGCCATTGCCAATAACAACATTTACCTGCACCGCCCATACTAACAACAAAATCACCTCCAACGTCACCACTACCCAAACCCTCCCTACAAACAACAAAAACAACACCAACGTCACCACTACCCACACCATCCCTACAACCTACCCCATCACGACCAACACCATCACTACCTACAACGTCCCTACAAACAACAATAACAACACCAACGTCACCATACTCACACCATCCCTACAACCTACACCATCACGACCAACACCATCACTACCTACAACGTCCCTACAAACAACAATAACAACACCAACGTCACCACTACCCACATCATCCTTACAACCTACACCATCACAACCAATAGCACCATTACCTACACCGTCCTTACAACATACACCATCACAACCAACACCACCACTTCCAATACCTCCCCGACAGTCTACACCATCACCGCCAACATCATCATTACCTATACTGTCCCTACAATAAACACTAGCAGGACCATCACCATCAACACAACAGTATATCTACACTGGCCTACAAACAACGCAATCACCATCACCAACAACGTCACCACGACCTACACTGTCCCTACAACCTACACATCACTAACAATACCACCACTACCTACACTGTCCCTACAACCTACACATCACTAACAATCCCACCACTACCTACACTGTCCCTACAACCTACACAACACTAACAACACCCCCACTACCTACACTGTCCCTACAACCTACACATCACTAACAACACCAGCACTACCTACACTGTCCCTACAACCTACACATCACTGTCCCTACAACCTACACCATCACCGCCAACATCATCATAATCTATACTGTCCCTACAATAAACACTAGCAGGACCATCACCATCAACACAAAAACATATCTACACAGGCCTACAAACAACGCAATCCCCATCACCAACAACGTCACCACTACCTACACTGTCCCTACAACCTACCCATCACTAACAACACCACCACTACCTACACTGTCCCTACAGCCTACACATCACTAACAACACCACCACTACCTCTACTGTCCCTACAACCTACACCATCACTAACAACACCACCACTGCCTACACTGTCCCTACAACCTACACATCACTAACAACACCACCACTACCTCTACTGTCCCTACAACCTACACCATCACCGCCAACATCATCATTATCTATACTGTCCCTACAATAAACACTAGCAGGACCATCACCATCAACACAAAAACATATACTACCTACACTGTCCCTACAACCTACCCATCACTAACAACACCACCACTACCTCCACTGTCCCTACAACCTACACCATCACCGCCAACATCATCATAATCTATACTGTCCCTACAATAAACACTAGCAGGACCATCCCCATCAACACAAAAACATATCTACACAGGCCTACAAACAACGCAATCACCATCACCAACAACGTCACCACTACCTACACTGTCCCTACAACCTACACATCACCACCAACACCACCACTACCTACACTGTACCTATAACCTACACACCACCACCAACACCACCATTACCTACACCGTCCCTACAACCTACACCATCACCACTAACAACACCACCACTACCTACACTGTCCCTACAACCTATACATCACTAACAACATCACCACTACTTACACTGTCCCTACAACCTACACATCACTAACAACACCACCACTACCTACACTGTCCCTACAACCTACACATCACTAACAACACCACCACTACCTACACTGTCCCTACAACCTACACATCACTAACAACACCACCACTACCTACACTGTCCCTACAACCTACACATCACTAACAACACCACCACTACCTACACTGTCCCTACAACCTACACATCACTAACAACACCACCACTACCTACACTGTCCCTACAACCTACACATCACTAACAACACCACCACTACCTACACTGTCCCTACAACCTACACATCACTAACAACACCACCACTACCTACACTGTCCCTACAACCTACACATCACTAACAACACCACCACTACCTACACTGTCCCTACAACCTACACATCACTAACAACACCACCACTACCTACACTGTCCCTACAACCTACACATCACTAACAACACCACCACTACCTACACTGTCCCTACAACCTACACATCACTAACAACACCACCACTACCTACACTGTCCCTACAACCTACACATCACTAACAACACCACCACTACCTACACTGTCCCTACAACCTACACATCACTAACAACACCACCACTACCTACACTGTCCCTACAACCTACACATCACTAACAACACCACCACTACCTACACTGTCCCTACAACCTACACATCACTAACAACACCACCACTACCTACACTGTCCCTACAACCTACACATCACTAACAACACCACCACTACCTACACTGTCCCTACAACCTACACATCACTAACAACACCACCACTACCTACACTGTCCCTACAACCTACACATCACTAACAACACCACCACTACCTACACTGTCCCTACAACCTACACATCACTAACAACACCACCACTACCTACACTGTCCCTACAACCTACACATCACTAACAACACCACCACTACCTACACTGTCCCTACAACCTACACATCACTAACAACACCACCACTACCTACACTGTCCCTACAACCTACACATCACTAACAACACCACCACTACCTACACTGTCCCTACAACCTACACATCACTAACAACACCACCACTACCTACACTGTCCCTACAACCTACACATCACTAACAACACCACCACTACCTACACTGTCCCTACAACCTACACATCACTAACAACACCACCACTACCTACACTGTCCCTACAACCTACACATCACTAACAACACCACCACTACCTACACTGTCCCTACAACCTACACATCACTAACAACACCACCACTACCTACACTGTCCCTACAACCTACACATCACTAACAACACCACCACTACCTACACTGTCCCTACAACCTACACATCACTAACAACACCACCACTACCTACACTGTCCCTACAACCTACACATCACTAACAACACCACCACTACCTACACTGTCCCTACAACCTACACATCACTAACAACACCACCACTACCTACACTGTCCCTACAACCTACACATCACTAACAACACCACCACTACCTACACTGTCCCTACAACCTACACATCACTAACAACACCACCACTACCTACACTGTCCCTACAACCTACACATCACTAACAACACCACCACTACCTACACTGTCCCTACAACCTACACATCACTAACAACACCACCACTACCTACACTGTCCCTACAACCTACACATCACTAACAACACCACCACTACCTACACTGTCCCTACAACCTACACATCACTAACAACACCACCACTACCTACACTGTCCCTACAACCTACACATCACTAACAACACCACCACTACCTACACTGTCCCTACAACCTACACATCACTAACAACACCACCACTACCTACACTGTCCCTACAACCTACACATCACTAACAACACCACCACTACCTACACTGTCCCTACAACCTACACATCACTAACAACACCACCACTACCTACACTGTCCCTACAACCTACACATCACTAACAACACCACCACTACCTACACTGTCCCTACAACCTACACATCACTAACAACACCACCACTACCTACACTGTCCCTACAACCTACACATCACTAACAACACCACCACTACCTACACTGTCCCTACAACCTACACATCACTAACAACACCACCACTACCTACACTGTCCCTACAACCTACACATCACTAACAACACCACCACTACCTACACTGTCCCTACAACCTACACATCACTAACAACACCACCACTACCTACACTGTCCCTACAACCTACACATCACTAACAACACCACCACTACCTACACTGTCCCTACAACCTACACATCACTAACAACACCACCACTACCTACACTGTCCCTACAACCTACACATCACTAACAACACCACCACTACCTACACTGTCCCTACAACCTACACATCACTAACAACACCACCACTACCTACACTGTCCCTACAACCTACACATCACTAACAACACCACCACTACCTACACTGTCCCTACAACCTACACATCACTAACAACACCACCACTACCTATACTGTCCCTACAACCTACACCATCACCGCCAACATCATCATTACCTATACTGTCTCTACAATAAACACTAGCAGGACCATCACCATCAACACAAAAACATATCTACACAGGCCTACAAACAACGCAATCACCATCACCAACAACGTCACCACTACCTACACTGTCCCTACAACCTACACATCACTAACAACACCACCACTGCCTACACTGTCCCTACAACCTACACATCACCACCAACACCACCACTACCTACACCGTCCCTACAACCTACACCATCACCACTAACATTACCACTACCAATAACGTCCCTACAATCAACACCCGCACTAACAACACAACCACTACGTACGTGGACCCTACAACTACTACCATCTTTACCAACACCAGCCCTACCGCCAACATCATCATCATCAACATCACCACTTCCTACTACACCTATGCAACGTTCACCATCACCACCAATGTCATTATTGCCTACAGCGCCCCTACAACAAGCACCATCACCACCAACACCATTATTGCCTTCAGCGCCCCTACAACAAACACCATCATCACCAACGCCATTATTGCCTACAGGGCCCTACAACATACACCATCACCAACAACGCCATTATTGCCTACAGCACCCCTACACTAAACACCATCACAAACAACGCCATTATTGCCTACAGCGCCTCTACAACAAACACAATCACCATATTTAACAATATCATTCAAATGTACAAAATTTGGTGTTTATTGGTTAGTTTGCAGATTTTATCGATAGTTATTGTTGCACTAGTCACTCTGTATTTGCAGACTACCACAGATCAGATAGCACTCCTTTCTGACTCCAACGCTACAAACATGATATGGTCAATTAATGAGAGTACCACCATGTCAACAGTACAGGCAACAAATACGACGTCCTCCTCGGAGTTGGAAGAGGAACTAGAGGAAACGGATTGGTATTTGATTGTTTATATGTTTACAACTCTAGTGATAGCGGGACTGGCTGTACTGAAAGGAGTAATATCAGGCGCAGTAAGTAATTCCTTCTTATAAATGGATATGAGGAGATCTTCTCATAATCAAATTTAAAGAGTATGAAAACTGTATAATTCAAAACACAATTTGTCTTGTCCTGTTGGCTGATGACGGCACAAGTGTTAGCAATATTCGTTTAATTTGATCACTTTGTATACAGTACTTTCGAATACACAACCTATGTAAATCAATATTTTGAATTAACTATGCTATATGTAGCAACTGTATGCCCATTAAAAGGCGTACCTGAGTAAAGATGACCAACCATGATCAGATATAGCATACATGCCTGATGAAATAGCATTTATTGGGATGAGATGAAAAATCCGCAAAATAACATTTCGTTTCAAGGAGGACAAATACATGTATATTACAAAATACAAAAAAAATAATTTTGCACCGTTGCACGATATCGCTTATTCAGAAAACGACATGTAAAGGCATATTATTTATATGTAACAATTTCACTGAATTCAGAAATATTTCAATATTGCGAGAAATATTTCTGTTTTTTAGAAACAAAGTGTCATTCAATTTCTGCACAGTTGAATTCCCGTTTCGATATACACGAGTGGCCTCAATTGAATATACCACAATTCGTAAATAATGATTTTGACATCAAATCGACAAATGTTTGCAGAAACCTTAGTAATAATGATAAAGCAAATCATCTAACGGATACTTTCTAAATAAGCTTACATCGTGCTTAAACTACGAAAGCAACTTAATTATTCTAAACCCTAAACGGTAAACTTATGCGATGTACGATTATAAACAAAATGAAACCATTTCATTTATTTATCATTCGATATATAACGCAGGTGTTGATAAAGGCTACAGTAACCCTACACAACAATGCCGTAGGGAGAGTGATGAGTGCTCCTATGCAGTTCTTTGACGCAAATCCACCGGGCCGACTCCTTAATCGATTCTCGCGAGATGTAGAGGATGGTAAGTGTATTTATCAGATTCTCGGGAGATGTAGGAGATGGTAAGCGCGAGATGTAGAGGATTGTAAGTGTATTTATCAGCTTCTCGCGAGATGTAGAGGATGGTAAGCGCGAGATTTAGAGGATGGTAAGTGTATTTATCAGATTCTCGCGAGATGTCGAGGATGGTAAGTGTATTTATCAGATTCTCGCGAGATGTAGAGGATGGTAAGTGTATCTATCAGATTTGAAGCGAGTTTGATATTTGAATTGATAGGTTAATTCCTGGACGCAGGTACTAATTTTACTTGAAATATATGTCAGGAAGCAGGTAGGAAAGAGACGGTCATAGCTTAAATGAAGTTATTCACTATATATAAAATCTTCCATTATCCATAGATATATATACAAAATCGTGTTTTCTTACATTCAATTTTGTTAATGAGACTATAGCAATAATCCTTCAAATAAAGTCCTTAAGTTTACAAAGGACGTCAACAGAAAAATGAAATATGATTTCATTGGATTCGACTTAAATTTACATGGGGGTGCTGTCGAAAAAGCAGAAGACGCTTACCTGTCATGAACGCCTGGTCTTGTTCTCCTTGTACTTTTCGAGAGTATCTGTGTTAATCGTCCCTTTGTTCATATTTCACCATTGTTTTGTTAATTTTGAGTTCGAATTTTGGTTTTGCCACTTTGCTTAATCTATTCTCTTGCTGGATTTTTTTTTTTATAAAATAATAATAATACAAGTCAATATTCTATTTATTTTATTTAAAATGAAGGTCGTTATTACCTGGGTAGGTTTTTGTCTCCGTGCTTGTTATTCTTATAACTTGTTCTGGTAAATCTTTTGTTATCAAATAGTCTGTTAAATCTTGGTTACGAAGTCCCGAGGCTTACTTCCAAATATCTGGTTAAAAATAGTTGCTCCGAAACTCTTAATCATATACAAGCTAGTCTTTGTTACAAAGTCTGAATCGTAATCACCACAACAAGACGTAAGAATATTATATATTCATTTCAATAAAATCCCTTTGTTTGACCATTTATTTGTGGTTTGGTTTGTTTGTGTTTTACGTCCTACCATTTATTTGTGGTTTGGTTTGTTTGTGTTTTACGTCCTACCATTTACATTTGTGGTGCAGTGCTTCAAGATAACAGTACCAACATAAAATGTTTGCATGATTCAATGAAGGCAAGTGTGTAGTAATATTAACAGTACAACATGTACCTTTTCAACAGAACAGAATAATTCACTGTCCTATACACTGGCGTCCGTTGCTATTGGCGAAGCAGGTGAAATCGTCCCGGCTCGTCGGCCAGTTCCCTCATTGACAGTAATACACGCCAAATGCTCAAACGATGAGCTTGTTTTGTTAACACAGTCGATCGACACAAGAATTCACACAACAACATCTTTTAAATCGTCATCTGGTTTCGTAGGAAACTCCACATTTCCCGAATGCACTTTCTATCTCATTAAAAGTCCAACCGCTTCGTGGCCTGATGAGCGTACCGCTGCACAAGCGTTTAACGGTCAGCTATCTCCGCGAACACGGAATACATTTCTGATGTTTTGCAACTAAAATATTTTTCAGTGTATTTCGTTTTAAATTAAGATCTATTGTCAATTTTTAAGATAATCAATGCTTATTAAATATGCTGGTATTATGAATTAAATTATTAAAAGATATTCAAAGTGAAACTATTTGTTTATTGCTCAACTGTGTATTTCGTCACAGTTGACAACGCATCATCTTTCCCGCGAAAAAGGCTGTTCAATCAATATTGTTTTCATAACGATGTTTTGCTTTTTAACGTGAAAAAAAGACTATTATTTTTAATTTAAAATAATAAAAGTGGATTTAATACAATGTAAATATAAGGTCCGAAATGCATCTTTTAAATATTTATGAGAGTACGCAGCACAGTTCCGTTCAAACATATTCCATGATGCGCGTTTCCTAAGAAACCAGATGACGATTTAGCTATGTTTATTTAAGGACATGTAAGGTTGGGGTGGTGGAGAAAATTCGGAGTTCCCGGAGGAAAACCACCAACCTTCACGTGGCCTCGAACCCGCGACCCACAGATGCAGGGCTACTGGTAGCAGAATATCACATGCCTTATATAAACCTTTTTTTTAAAATGTTTTTTTACAATTTATGCTAGTCACTCTTGTTGGCCCAGAAGTTAGTGCGCCTTGGACTTACTGTGGTGGAAAACCAGAGTACCTTGAGAAAACTCACGTGGTCGGGCATACCTTTTTCACGTCCGATCGGATAATCGAACCCCGGCAACTTGGTGAAAGGCAAGTGTGTTATCCACTGCGCCACCCGACGACCCAGATGCCAGATGCCGTAGCCACATGGCCACCGCGGCCCCCATATAAAAGAGAATAATTAGATAGCATAGTGAAGTGTAATAGGGACAAGTATCAAACCTAATATTGACCCTTTTCTTTTCTATTGCAGTTGATGTGTTCCTCCCTAATCTGATTGATAATCTACTCCAGGTCACGGTCCTGATAATAGCATCTATTGTCAGCGCATCCTACAATTTCCCCTTCCTCCTTATCGCAGTTGTTCCCGTTGGATTCTACTGTTATATTATTAAAACCATGGCAGCCGTGTCAGTCCTAAATATCAAACGACTTGAGAATGTCGTAAGGTCCCCACTTATTAGTCATGTGACCACATCATGTAATGGACTTAGTACCATTGTTTCCTACTCGCAAGAAAACAACTTCGTGAATGGGTAAGTTCCGGCACGAAATCTGCTTAAAACGTTCTATCACTTGAAGAGAACGGCAACCTCATCTAATACCGTTTTGAGACTTCAATCAATTTCCCCTTATCATCGAAACAAATTTAACATCAAAGTATATGAGATTGAAATATGATACATAGTTTGATATTATAATATTCTTATGCAATAATAAAATATATATATAAAATAAGATAAACACAATATTAATAAATAATTAGATTTTTCTTCATTTAAGATCCCAAGAATACTCGGACAAGACTTCAATGGGACTCTTTCTTTTTGAATCTTGCATCAAGTGGATGGGCCTCAGATTGGACTTCGGCGGATCTGTACTGACAATAGTTATAACTATCATTGTACTCTTTACTAAGGGAACCATATCTCCTGCTTTGGCCGCTCTGTCACTCACCATGTCCCTCAATGTAAGTTTCACTGTCACACACCGTGTCCATCAATGTAAGTTTAACTGTCACTCATCATGTCCTTCAATATAAGTTTCTCCCTCCATGCCCCTCAGTGTAAGTTTCTCTCTCACTCACCATGTCCCTCAATATAAGTTTGTTCTCACTTGCCATGTCCCTCAATATAAGTTTAACTGTCACTCATCATGTCCTTCAAGATAAGTTTCTCCCTCACTCACCATGTCCCTTAATGTAAGTTTCTCTCTCACTCACCATGTCCCTCAATATAAGTTTCTCCCTCGCTCACCATGCCCCTCAGTGTAAGTTTCTCTCTCACTCCCCATGTCCCTCAATGTAAGTTTCTCACTCACTCACCATGTCCCTTAATGTAAGTTTCTCTCTCACTCACCATGTCCCTCAATATAAGTTTCTCCCTCACTCACCATGTCCATCAATGTAAGTTTCTTCCTCACTCATCATGTCCTTCAATATAAGTTTCTCCCTCGCTCACCATGTCCCTCAGTGTAAGTTTCTCTCTCACTCACCATGCCCCTCAGTGTAAGTTTCTCTCTCACTCACCATGTCCCTCAATGTAAGTTTCTCACTCACTCACCATGTCCCTTAATGTAAGTTTCTCTCTCACTCACCATGTCCCTCAATGTAAGTTTCTCTCTCACTCACCATGTCCCTCAATGTAAGTTTTTCTCTAACTCAACATGTCCCTCAATGTAAGTTTCTCACTCACTCACCATGTCCCTCAGTGTAAGTTTTTCTCTAACTCAACATGTCCCTCAATGTAAGTTTCTCACTCACTCACCATGTCCCTTAATGTAAGTTTCTCACTCACTCACCATGTCCCTTAATGTAAGTTTCACTGTCACTCACCATGTCCCTCACTGTGAGGATCTCTCTCACTCACCATGTCCCTCAATGTAAGTTTCTCTCTCAATCACCATGTCCCTCAATGTAAGTTTCTCACTCCCTCACCATGTCCCTCAATGTAAGGATCTCACTCACTCACCATGTCCCTCAATGTAAGTTTCACTGTCACTCACCATGTCCCTCAATGTAAGTTTCACTGTCACTCACCATGTCCCTCAATGTAAGGATCTCACTCACTCACCATGTCCCTCAGTGTAAGTTTCTCTCTCACTCACCATGTCCCTCAGTGTAAGTTTATCCCTCACTCACCATGTCCCTCAATATTAGTTTCTCACTCACTCACCATGTCCATCAATGTAAGTTACACTGACACTCACCATGTCAATCAATATAAGTATCTCACTCACTCACCATGTCCCTCATTGTTAGTTTCTTCCTCACTCACCATGTCAATCAATAAAAGTTTCTCACCTCTCATAATGTCCCTCAGTGTAAGTTTAAGTGTTACTCATCATGTTCCTCAGTGTAAGTTTTTTCTCTCACTCAACATGTCCATCATTACAAATGTCTCTCTCACTCCCATGTCACTCAATGTAAGTTTCTCTCTCACCCACCATGTCCATCAAAGTAAGTTTCTCACTCACCCAACATGTCAATCAATATAAATTGCTCACTCACTCTCCATGACAATCAATATAAGTTTTCCGTCTATCACCATGTCAACGAATATAAGTTTCTCACTCACTCACCATGTTCCCCAGTGTTAGTTTCTCGATCACTCACCATGTCAATCAATATAAATTGCTCACTCACTCATTATGTTCCTCAATGTAAGATTCTCTCTCACCCACCATGTCCATCAATGTAAGTTTCTACCTCACTCACCATGTCAATCAATATAAATTCCTAATTTACTCACCATATTCCTCAGATTTGGTTTCTCCCTCACTTACCATGTTAAATAATATAAGTTTCTCTCTCACTATTAATGTCCCTCAGTGTAAGTTTCTCTGTCACTCACCATGTCCCTCAATGTAAGTCTCTCACTCACTCACCATGTCCCTTAATGTAAGTGTCACTGTCACTAACCATGTCCCTCAATGTAAGGATCTCACTCACTCACCATGTCGCTTAATATAGGTTTCTCACTCACTCACCATGTCCCTCAATGTAAGGTTCTTACTCACTCACCATGTCCCTCAATATAAGTTTCTCACTCCCTCAACATGTCCCTTAATGTAAGTTTCACTGTCACTAACCATGTCCCTCAAAGTAAGTTTCTCACTCATTCAACATGTCCCTTAATGTAAGTTTCACTGTCACTCACAATGTCCCTCAAAGTAAGTTTCTCACTCATTCAACATGTCCCTTAATGTAAGTTTCACTGTCACTAACCATGTCCCTCAATGTAAGGATCTCACTCACTCACCATGTCCTAAGTTTCTCTCTCAATCACCATGTCCCTCAATGTAAGTTTCTCAACTCACTCACCATGTCCCTCAATGTAAGGATCTAACTCACTCACCATGTCCCTTAATATAGGTTTCTCCCTCACTCACCATGTCCCTCAGTGTAAGTTTCTCTGTCACTCACCATGTCCCTAAATGTAAGTTTCTCACTCACTCACCATGTCCCTAAATAGAAGTTTCTCCCTCACTCACCATGTCCATCAATGTAAGTTTCTCGCTCACTCACCATGTCCCTCAGTGTACGTTTCTCTCTCACTCACCGTGTCCCTCAATGTAAGTTTCTCACTCACTCACCATGTGATTCTCTCTCACCCACCATGTCCATCAATGTAAGTTTCTACCTCACTCACCATGTCAATCAATATAAATTCCTAATTTACTCACCATATTCCTCAGATTTGGTTTCTCCCTCACTTACCATGTTAAATAATATAAGTTTCTCTCTCACTATTAATGTCCCTCAGTGTAAGTTTCTCTGTCACTCACATGTCCCTCAATGTAAGTTTCTCACTCACTCACCATGTGATTCTCTCTCACCCACCATGTCCATCAATGTAAGTTTCTACCTCACTCACCATGTCAATCAATATAAATTCCTAATTTTCTCACCATATTCCTCAGATTTGTTTTCTCCCTCACTTACCATGTTAAATAATATAAGTTTCTCTCTCGCTATTAATGTCCCTCAGTGTAAGTTTCTCTGTCACCCACCATGTCCCTCTATGTAAGTTTCTCACTCACCATGTCCCTTAATGTAAGTTTCACTGTCACTAACCATGTCCCTGAATGTAAGGATCTCACTCACTCACCATGTCCCTCAGTGTAAGTTTCTCTGTCACTCACCATGTCCCTCAATGTAAGTCTCTCACTCACTCACCATGTCCCTTAATGTAAGGTTCACTGTCACTCACCATGTCCCTCAATGTAAGGATCTAACTCACTCACCATGTCCCTTAATATAGGTTTCTCACTCACTCACCATGTCCCTCAGTGTAAGTTTCTCTGTCACTCACCATGTCCCTAAATGTAAGTTTCTCACTCACTCACCATGTCCCTTAATGTAAGTTTCACTGTCACTCACCATGTCCCTCAAGGTAAGGATCTCACTCACTCACCATGTCCCTCAATGTAAGGATCTCACTCACTCACCATGTCCCTTAATATAGGTTTCTCACTCACTCACCATGTCCCTCAGTGTAAGTTTCTCTGTCACTCACCATGTCCCTCAATGTAAGGATCTAACTCACTCACCATGTCCCTTAATATAGGTTTCTCACTCACTCACCATGTCCCTCAATGTAAGTTTCACTGTCACTCACCATGTCCATCAATGTAAGGATCTCACTCACTCACCATGTCCCTCAATATGAGTTTCTCCCTCACTCACCATGTCCATCAATGTAAGTTTTTCACTCACTCACCATGTTCCTCAATGTAAGGTTCTCCCTCACCATGTCCCTCAATGAAAGGTTCTCGGTCACTCACCATATCCCTTAATGTAAGTTTCACTGTCACACACCATGTCCCTCAATGTAAGGATCTCTCTCACTCACCATGTCCCTCAATGTAAGTTTCTCTCTCCCTCACCATGTCCCTCAATGTAAGATTCACTGTCACTCACCATGTCCCTCAATGTAAGGATCTCACTCACTCACCATTTCCCTCAATATAAGTTTCTCCCTCACTCACCATGTCCCTCAGTGTAAGTTTCTCTGTCACTGACCATGTCCCTCAATGTAAGTTTCTCACTCACTCACCATGTCCCTTAATGAAAGTGTCACTGTCACTAACCTTGTCCCTCAATGTAAGGATCTCACTCACTCACCATGTCCCTCAATATAAGTTTCTCCCTCACTCACCATGTCCCTCAATGTAAGTTTCTCTGTCACTCACCATGTCCCTCAATGTAAGTTTCTCACTCATTCAACATGTCCCTTAATGTAAGATTCACTGTCACTGACCATGTCCCTCAATGTAGGTTTCACTGTCACTCACCATGTCCCTCAATGTAATGATCTCACTCACTCACCATGTCCCTCAATGTAAGGATCTCTCTCACTCACCATGTCCCTCAATCTAAGTTTCTCTCTCAATCACCATGTCCCTCAATGTAAGTTTCTCTCTCACTCACCATGTCCCTCAATGTAAGTTTCTCTCTCAATCACCATGTCCCTCAATGTAAGTTTCTCACTCACTCACCATGTCCCTCAATGTAAGTTTCTCACTCACTCACCATGTCCCTCAATGTAAGGTTCTCACTCACTCACCATGTCCCTCAATGTAAGTTTCTCACTCACTCACCATGTCCCTCAATGTAAGGTTCTCACTCACTCACCATGTCCCTCAATGTAAGGTTCTCACTCACTCACCATGTCCCTTAATGTAAGTTTCACCGTCACTCACCATGTCCCTCAATGTAAGTTTCTCACTCACTCACCATGTCCCTTAATGTAAGTTTCTCACTCACTCACCATGTCCCTCAATGTAAGTTTCTCACTCACTCACCATGTCCCTCAATGTAAGTTTCTCACTCACTCACCATGTCCCTCAATGTAAGTTTCTCACTCACTCACCATGTCCCTCAATGTAAGTTTCTCACTCACTCACCATGTCCCTCAATGTAAGTTTCTCACTCACTCACCATGTCCCTCAATGTAAGTTTCTCACTCA